GGCCCAATAGAGCAGTTTTATATATAGTTTTTTTAGAAAATGTCATACTGTTTTCCTTAATGGTTATATTAATTTACATTTACATTGGCAGTTACTCTAATTTAAATAACGGGCCTTCCTACAAAAAGAACAACATATCTGTGACTAACTCTGGAACTTGGAATTTTTTTCCTGTAAGCTTTTAGTTCTGCTGTTCATTTTTGAAGTCCAGCTGCTAATTGACTCACTATTGGAACAATGTGGCTTCAAATGTTTGCCTTCCATTTACACTCAGGGAGAATTAAAAACAGTGGTATCGCATTCTAAATAGTGGACCGTCCAGTTTTTCTATGCTGAGGAAATAACATCTACAGGGAGAAAGAGAAGAGTACAGTAACTTTCATTTTCAGCATCTAAATTATATTATAGTGGATTAACTCCTTCTGTCCCACACTTGGAGGAACATATCTGTTAAATCTTAGTTGTAAGGTAATGCACTTTTTTTCTCTCCCCTTTTTTGTGTTTTGAGAGGAAAAGGCAGTTTATTAAGTAAAAATGAAAATGCACTCCTGAGAGAGAAGAGCGGGCCTGAGAGGACAGAGAAAGGATGGCTCGAAGGCCGATAGTGCACTTTCTATTTGGAGCATTTGCTTTGTATAAGTTACTGACACTTTTAAAGTAGTTTTTATGATTTTGCTGTAAGGAGGATCTTAACATCTGTTGTCAGTACACTGTAATGGAGCCCACTAATGGTCTATATCCCTCCTCTTTTACTGAGCAAGATTTTGGAATCAAAGTAATTTTCAGAGATCTGAAAGGCTGAATTTGAGATATAAAAGAGCTACCAGAATGACTAACATAACCATTCTTATTTCTCATATCCTCAAAATGGTACTTCTGCCCCCTCTTCCACCCCCATGTTCTTAAGGATGTGCTGAGTTTTGTTTCTACTCTGGAAAAATGCTGAGGGAAAGAGAAACTAAATATGTAGAAGAGAGAAAAACTTATCTGAATAGTCTTCAAAATACTTTCTTTGTAGCTTCTTTGAATTTAAATTTCTTAGTGTGTACTGTTTTATAAGATATATAAATATATTTCAACTTTTTTTTAGTTTTTTTGTTATAGGGCGCATGTGCTCACTGGAGAGAGAGAGAGAGAGAGAGAGAGAGAGAAAAGAGAGAGGGAGGGAGAGGGAGAGGGAGAGAGAGAAAAGGAACCCTTCCCTCCAGGAGATGGCCATGCCATAATCCCTTCTACTTCATTTTTCTCTTGGGATTTTGGGCATGCACACATGCCCAGCATGTTTTTCAAGCCTCTGATCCAGGCTTGAACCACACAATTGGCCATGTGGGATCTAGCTACCTTAACCAGCATGCTACTTACTGGCCTTATTCTATTCTTTTACAAATATTGAACTTAAGAGTATTATCTTATTCAGTGTTGTAGCTACATAGGAAGTAGAAAATCCCTGATTTCTCAGGAGCTAAAACTTACCTTTTTTTCCTTAAAGTTTCTGCTATAAGGGCATGCACTCTTACCAGAGAGAGAGGATGAAAGAGTAAGTGAGAAATCACTCTCAAGTGGGGAATAGCCATGCTACAATCCCTCCTTCTTCATTCTCCTCCTGGAATTTTTGGGCATGGATGCACACATGGTCCTGTGTGATTTTCAAACCTCAAGGCCTGAAACTTGAATAGCAATCAGCCATGTGGGAGTACAGTGCCTTAACCACCACACTATCTACTGGCTCCAAAGCTTATTCTTTCAAACTTTCATTCATTCAATTAATTTATTGAAAGACTATTATGTCCAGACACTTTTTTTTTTTTTTTTGGAGAGATTTTCACTGTAGGGCGCGTGCTCTCGCCAGACAGACAGAGAGAGACAGAGAGACAGAAAGCGAGAAATCACCCCCCAGGGGGGATGGTCACACCGCAATCCCTTCTCCTCCATTCTCCTCTTGGGATCTTGGGCATGCACGCACACGCGCCCGGCATGAGTTTTAAGCCACCGGGTCCGGGACACGAACCGCGGTCGACTACGTGGGAGTCCAGCGACATAGCCATTACGCTAACTGCTGGTTCCCATGTCCAGACACTTTTTATTACTATATATACAGTGTCATTGTTTAATATAGCTGTATGCAGTCATTTTTTTTGGAAAGGTTTTTGCTATAGGGTGTGTGTGCTCTCCAGAAAAACAGAGAGAGACAGAGAGACAGAAAGTGAGAAATCACCCCCTAGTGGGGATGGCCACGCTGCAATCCCTTCTCCTCCATTCTCCTCTTGGGATCTTGGGCATGCACGCACACGCGCCCGGCATGAGTTTTAAGCCACTGGGTCTGGGACTTGAACCACAATCGACTACATTGGAGCCCAGTGACACAGCCATTATGCCAACTTCTGGTCCCTACAGTCAATTATTTAAAAAACAAATTTAAAAGCAAAAAATATGTTTTATATTTACTTGTATATTTATCATCTCTGATGGTGATAATTTCTTCTGATAATCTGAATTTCTGCCTAGTATCATTTTTATTTAGCTTGATGAACTTTCATTAAAAAAAATGCTGAGCTGGTCCTGACACTATTTATTGTAATACAAGTGTGGTGGCCATGAATTTCTCATCTTTTATCTGTTAGAAAAATATCACCTTTTTTTTTTAAAGGCCAGACGGTGCTTGCACACACATGAAGGAGAGAAAGAGAGAGAATGAGAGAAGAACCACATATTCTGCTTTCCCTAGTGGGGCCTGGTTGCACTGCAATCCTTCTTTTCCAGTTTCCCATCCTGTCAGATTTGGCATATGTATGTGCCCAGAGCCTGGAATCAAACCTAGGACAGCTGTGTGGCACCTGGCTTCCTCTGTGGACTTGGACCTAGGTCAGCTTATATGGGATCTGGCTTCCTCTGTGCAGCATTTAACCACTGTGCTATATGGCCAGCCCCATCTTCATATTTGAAGAATATTTTCCTGGATATGGAAAGTTTTTTTCCCTTTCAGCAGTTTTTTCTCTCTCAGCACCTTAAAGATGTCATTTCATTGTCTTTTAGCAATTCACATTGTTTATGATGAGAACTCAGTGAAAATTTTTGTCCGTTTCCTTATTTATATTCATTTTTTTCATCTGGCTGATATTATGATTTTTCTCTTTATCACTAGTTTTGTGATTGATTATGATATACCTTGATAAGTTTTTTGTTGTTGCTGTTTGTTTTTCTTTTTTAATTTCTTGGGATATATTTAGCTCTATGGATCTGTAAATTACAGTTTTTAATCACATTTAGGAATTTTTGGTTTTTATTTCTTTCAAGTACTTTTTATTCCCTTTGTGACTCCAGTTATACATGTTAGAATACTAGTTAGTGTTCAGGACCAGCAGGTGGCATGGTGGTTAAGGTGCTGGACACTTCCACGTGGCCGACTGCGATTCGGACCTGGGAGCTTACTTTATCATTTTCCCTCTCTCTCTGTATCTCTCTCTGATCAAATTAAAATAAATGAATGAATGAATAAAATTAAATAATTTAAAAAAAGAATACTAGTTAGTGTTCAATAGTTAGTGAGCCTCTGCTTAATTTTTCCTCCTTACTTAAATTTTTTTTTCTGTTTATTTTGGATGGTGTATATTTCTATGTCTTCAAGTTTATGGATAATCTTCTGTAGCTAAATGCATTCATTTAACTTTTCATTTCAGATATTATTTTTCTGCTCTAGAAGTTCTAGTCTATTTTTGTACTTTCCATTTTGTCTTTATATGAATCTTTTCCTAGAAATGTCTTAGCATATTTTTAATAGTATTTTAAAGGTCTTTGTCTATCCTATCTTCTCTGTCATTTCTGGCACTTTTTCTATGAATGGAATTTTCTCATGATTATGTTTCTTTGCTTTTTGTATTTAGTAATTTTTTATTGCATGTGTGAATCATATGTTGTGTAGTATGCACACATGAATGTGTGTATGTATCAAATTTTCATTGGAGGTGTGTTGAATTCTATTTTGGCAAGCATTTATTTGTGGATTAGCTTAATCATTTTAAGATTCATTTTTAGCCTTTAATTTGGGCAAGTCTAGAGTAGCCTCTACTTTTTGACTAATTTCACCTTTGTGCTAAGGTGTAGTCTTTCTGAGCGCTCTACCGAAACCTCTGGATGCTCAGTTACATTGCTTAGAACTTACATGTCTCACAGCTCTCTGCGAGCTCTGGAAATTACTCAGCTTATGGCTCCCTTCACTTGTTCTTTGGCTGGTTTCATGGATTCTCACTATAAATGGGACAACTTGGTATATGGCAAGAGACTCAAGCAGGCTTTGTGCACATTTATGGAGTTCCTTCTCTGTCTACTTTCATTCTTAAAAAACTCTTACTCACAAATTCTAATTTCCTCAGCCTCTCTAAACTCTGATCATTGCTTAACTCAGTGTGAATGCCATTTTCTGCATGAATTCCTTCTCCTTATGCTGTAGTTTATAAAGTACCTTTAGGTAAAAATCTGGGTGATCTTAGGGCTCATTTCATTCATTTTCCTCCTCTTAGCAATCCCTGTCTGCTCTACAGTATCTGAAATAGTTGTATCATATGTCTTATGTAGTTTTCCTAATGCTTGCCACGAGAGAGTAAGCCCATCATGGCTAGAAGCAGAAGTCCCTGATAATATAATTTTAATTCTGATGTATTCTTCTGTAAGTGGTGCATAGTTAATGACAGTCCTGTGCAGTTGATTATGCAGTATGTTCTAGGAGCATACCACTGAGACTTGGGTCTTTATATGGACTGACCAGGTATAGAATTCCAAGAGCAGACTAGACCATGCTAAATGACAGAAAAATTAGCAGCAAGACCTAACACTTTTCTTAGATGACCCTCATTAATTTAAGGCTGGCAAAATTAAGAAAAAAAATTGCTTCAGATTTTTTTTGTAACCTCTTGAATCAGATCCCATGCTAGTACATCATTTTTTTCCTAATGAGAATTGATATAGTTGTATTGTAAATTAACTGCGTCCTTTTAAAATTTCAGGAGCAGCTTTTCTGGGTATTACAACCATCTATGCTGAGACAGGCTCAGGTTTTGTAGTGCCGAGTGCTTCCGCCAAAGCAGGTGTGGAAGCAATGTACAAGTAAGTACTACTGTGTTGATCCTGTCACTGAAGAGAAGTAATGCACTTTGGTAATTCATGGAACTAAATTCCTGCTTTCTTGTCTCCATTCAGAGAAAAGTAAAATAGATACTAATTTGGATTCACCAAGAGACAGACAAAATGTTTTATCTCCCCCCATTTATCTATAGAAGCAGCCGCAGCAGCAGTAGCAGTGTGCAGTAGAACTTCCACAGTGATGGAAATGTCTTTTGGTTCTGCATTATCTAATAGCAACATGTAGCCATTGAACCCTTAAAACTTGGCCACTGTGACTAAGAAATTAAACTAAAGAGATTTTTTTTTTTTCCTGAGGGTGTGTATGCTTGCCAGAGAGAGAAAAAGAGAAAATTCTTTCCATGGAGAATGGTCATGTCACAATCCCTTCTCCTCTATTTCTCCCTTCTTTTGGAATTTTTGCCCACATGCACATACACCCAGTGTGTTTTTCAAGTTGCTGGGTCCAAGACTCTTAACTGTGTAGTCAGCCATGTGGGATCCAGCCACCTTGACCACTATACCACTGGCAGAAACTAAAATTTAAAATTGAGGGGGCAACAGATAGCATGGTGGTAACGGTACTGAATTCCCACATGACCAACCATGGTTTGAGTTCTGGAGCCAGCAGATTAAAAATCATGCAGAACATGTATGTGCACGTATGCCCAAAATTCTGAGAGGAGAAGGGGGGAGAAGGGATTACTGTGTGGTCATCCTCCTTAGGTGGTGATTTTTCACTTTCTCTCCACCTATATATATGTATATATATGTGTGTGTGTATTAAATAGCCATATGTGCTAGTGGTTATTTATTTGGCACCACTCATGCATCTTTACTCATCTTTAATCTCATATTTCATCCTTTTATTTTACATATTTTCATCCTTGTAATTGTACCTCTGTATAAAATTAATGTGACTGTGATTACTATTGTTTTTTTCTTAGCAGATTATAATTGTTCTTCGAATTTTCTCCCCATTAGCCGTTTCCACTGTCTTTATCGTAATAAAAGTTCTCATTACTGCTTTTCTGGCTAACTGCAATAATCCTGTAATACATTTATGTTCTACCAGCCTCTTTCTCTTTATTTTTTTATTCACATTCCCATCAAAATTATCTCTCTTAAAATATATATCTGTGGAGAACTAGTGATTTCAGTGACTAAGAGAAATGAAGATTTTTTACTGGATAATTCAGTCTCCAACCACCAGTCTCCAGTAGGGATGCAAGGGGCAGACCTTCAGAAGACTCCTCCATTGCTGTTGAGAACTTGTGATTTCGGGGACTAAGAGAAATGAAGATTTTCTACTTATAATTCAGTCCCCAGTTTCGAGGGGTAGGACACCCCTCTATCTTTCTCTCTGTCTCTCTCTCTGCCTCTCTCATTTTTTGGTAATTTTTCCTTTAAAACTTTTTTTAAGGTAAAGTATTCTCTTGACTTTCAGGTCCTCCTTTATCTTGCTAATAATCCCCTTTCCCTCTCCGCTCTAGGAGAGGCAAGGGGCAGGCCTTCAGAAGAAGACTCCTCCATTGCTACTGAGAATTCGGGCCCCGTGGTTTTTTTTTTTTTTTTTTTGCTTTTTTGGAAAAAAATTTTGTTTTTTTCTCTCTCTTTCTCTTTTCCTTTTTTGTTTGTTTGTTTCTCTCTGTTTTCTTATTCTTTTTCTTTTACCTCATCACTTTGCTGCTCAATCTCCATTCACTGAGTGACTAAGCAGATCTATGGGAAACATAGCCAGACATCCAAATACTATTACGGTTAACATATTCCTCAATACACACTGAACCTGCTGCACAGAGGGATAAAAATGGAATGGCAAAGAGATTGCAGATCATGCCCTCCTTCATGCATCTGAATGCTCAGATTGAACTCCTAGAAATTAGAAAGAAGCGTATAACCCTTTAATAAACTAGAAATCACTGCAAAGACCCAAGAAATATGAGAAACCTAGGAAAAGAATAACTCCTCTTCATCCACAGACAGTTCAATGGAAATTATGGAAATGTCTGATAAATAATTTAGAATATTCATAGTGATGAAGTTAACAGACATACAAAAGAAGAGAGACAATGAACTCCAGAAGAGGCAGAAGAATAGAACTGAGGAATTTCAGGAGGTGAGAAAGTTCTTGCACAATCTGAAAGAGGAAATACACACCATAAAAAGAATCAACAGAACTGTTCAGGAAATCAAAACCTCCCTTGAAAGTACTAAAAGCAAACTAGATCATACAGAAGATTGAATCTTAGATGTAGAAAACAGAATCACTGGCCTAAAAAAATTCACCACAAAGACTGAGAAAATAATCCAAAAAATGAGAACAATATACAAGAGAAAGTAGATACCATCAAACGTCCAAACATCTGGATAATTGGTATCCTAGAAGGTGAAGAAACTAATAAGGGCATTGATAATCTTTTCCATGAAATCCAAGAAGAAAACTTTCCAAATCTAGATAGGCAACAATATATACGACCCCAAGTAGAATCATCCATAGAAGATCTTCTCCATGACGCATTAAAGCCAGATCAAAACCACTGACAAAGACAAGGTACTCAGACTGGCAAGAGAGAAACAATATGTTACCTACAAAGGATATCCCATCCGGCTAACAGTGAACCTCTCATCGGAAACAATGTGAACAAGGAAAGACTGGGAAAAATATATTCAAAGTATTGAGTGAAAAACAATTTCAACCAAGAATACTATACCCAGCAAGATTATCCTTCATATGGGAAAAGAAGACAAGAACATTCTCAGATAAACAAAACCTAAAAGAATTTACCAACAGTAGACCAGCTCTCCAAGAAGTTCTGAAGGGAGTGCTATGTCAGGAAAACTAAAGTCAGACACACAGAAATAAGAATTAAAAAAACATTTAAGAAAAAAGCCAGCTTAATGGTAGGGACAAGTCCGGAGTTGAATATTATCTTCCAGAATTTAAATGGAAAGCTTGGACAACAGAAGTTGGATTAAGTACATGAGACTGAACTGATGAAATAGAATTTTAAATTGACTTTTGACTAAAACAATACTGATCTTTTTCTACGCTTTGTAGTCCAGAGATAAGGATTTCTTTCTTTTGTTGAATTGTTGACAGATCCAGGTAACTACTGTTTGAACAGAATCCTAACCTGCTTCCTGGCTTTAAGTCTTAAGCAGATTTCTCTTAACATTTTTTGATTTTGATTTATGAAAGCTAAAACTGCCTTTCTTGAAATTAAGAAACATATTAAAAAATACCTATTTAATGACCACAGTAAGCTATATAGCCTCAGCTAGGTGTTATTTTATAGTATATTCATTCTACTCACAATTTCACACCTAAAGTCAAACATTTGTTCACAAATATGTATATATCTGCCAAATTTGCTATTGAAAGTAGTTAGATCATTTAAGATATTTTGCTAACCATTAACATGCAGGAGAGGAAAAAAAAAGGAATGGAAAGCAACTGCAGATACCAGAGATAGAGTGGGAGAAGAGTGGGATATGGCAGAGGATGAGAAATAGGGGAGGAATATATATGTAAGAAACAAGAAATGGGAAATTATTTGTGATGATAACATGTACGACTAAGCCATTATACAGTATATTCTGGATAGGAAACTGCATCTTGTATGCTGTGATGATGTTCAGTAAATGAATGCAAAATAAATAATTAATAAAAATATACACCTGTTTATTATATTCCTTAGCCAAAATTTTTGGGTCATTTTCCATTATTCTTTAGAATAAAAATGTAAATTCAGTATGGCATTCTAAGCATACTTGTTCCTGGACTTTTTTTAAAAAACATAAATTTATTAGAGCAGCAGGCGACATGGTGGTAAAGGTGCTGACCTCCCACAGACCTGCAGCTTGCTTTCTCACTTCTTTCTCTCTATGTCTCTCTCTATTGAGCACATGAGCCATATAGCAAAATTTAAAAACTAATAAATAAAAGCAAATAAATACTTATAAAAGTAATAAATTTATTCAATAAATATTATTGTGTGTCTGCCACTGTACTAGGTATCAGGAATATGATAATGATGGAAATAGAGTGATCTTCATCCTCACCTGAGCATATATTCTTATACCATTCCATCTGTTATTACTGTTCTTTAATTACTATTGAACTATTCTATATTTCCACATTTTCATATCTATGCCTAGATTATGCTGTTGATGGAATTTGGAGATAATTTTGCCTACTTTAAAATCTCTCATCATATCACCTCCTCCTAGGAGGGTTTCTCTCATTATCTACACAAAATTAATCATTCCCTACTCTCTATGCTTTAGAACATTATCTAATCCAATCTAATGAGAATAAAAACACACTAATAGATTCTAAAATGGAGGTAGTGTACTAATATAGCAGAGACACAGAGAAGGGCCTGATAGATTCCCCCGTACCCCACAGAGGTTTTTGTCTTAGGGCCTGTGTGCTGGGCAGGGAGGGAAGATAGGTTGAGAAGAAAAATGAGAAGTCACTCCCCATGGGGGATAGCCATGGTACAATCCCTTCTCCTCCATTCTCCTTCTGGGATCCTGGGCACACACACACATGTACTGGGCTTGAATTTCAAGCTACTGGGTTCAGGACTTTAACTGTGGTCAGCCATGTGGGAGTCCAGTAACAGAACCACTATGCCATCTGCTGGTCCCATGATAGACTTTTTGATATACCATTGAAGCTCTCTGACTTGCCAAGTAGCATGTGAGTTCTGTGAGAGACAGGACCATTTCTTGGTATCATCTTTCTCTAGAAGCATATGGTACGTAGCTGGTGCTTAGTGCTTATTGAACTGCATTATTGTTTTTTTCCTCCTATGGTCCCAAAAGACTTTTCAAGATGTAAATCAGTAATATACATTTGTTTGAGATAGAAAGAGGTACTATAATAGTTTATTCAGAAGTTGAATCTTAGTTTGAATAAAGACAACCACCTTTTTAAAAAGCTAAATTGAAAATAAAGAAATGGAATTGGACTATTTCTGTAGAATTTGTACACTGTCAATATATATATATTTTGACATTTGAGTTTGTTAAAGGTTTCAATTTCATGTCCTTTAAAGGCATGCTACTTTTCTTTGTGTTCTTAAGTAGTATATTGCACTTCATAGGTGCTCAATAAATATGTCTTTCTTTCCATCTCAAGTTCCCATCAACCCTCTTCTACTTTATAGTATATAGTCTTAATGAATAGGCATCATAGGTTCCCAAAACATTTTGTGCTGTTTGTGTCAATGTCCTTTCCTCATTCTGACCCATGTGTCTGGTCTGCCTTCCTTTCTCATTCTACCCTCTATAGTAGATCGCTCAGCTCCTTCCCCCTGCAACCTGCAGCAAAGTCCTAATCTTTCTTCATGTCTGCTCAAATAGCAACTCTTTAGGGAGGCCTTTTCTTTCACTCCCAGGAGACATAGGTTCTTCTTCCTTACTGTAGCTATGTGACACAAACCACAGTAGCTAATATTTTATCCAACCAAACTGATCTCACTTTAGGGAGAAGGTCTGCTCTCTCGTGAGCAATGAATGATGTTCTTTATCTGAGACTAAACAATACTTATAGGGTGTTTATATATGGGAAGTTCAAGATAAATATTTGCTGAATGAACAACAGCTGTGGCTAACATCCACTGAGGATATTGTGCTTAGCTTAAGAACTTGCAGGGCTGACCATATGAGAGAGATTCCTTGTTATATTACAATACTCGACTTCAATATGTACATACAATATTTTCCCCCTATTCTGCTTTATTTAATATTAGTAGGTTGCTCAGTTTTTCACAGGATGATGTAGAGTCTGTTCACCTCAGTAGTTCTGTTAAGACATAAAGTTACTGCTTCTCTAGCAAGTTGGACTAGGTGTACAAGCACATGCTCAGGGTAGGTATGGCCATAAACTTTGTTAAAAGCAGAGAAGCAATTTTTAAACAATGATTTACATGGAAGAGATTCAATTCAACTGTTTCTCTAAAATGCACCTATGGATACAGTTGGCTTAACGAATTATATTTAGAGCATATGTCTCCTTTCCCATAGAATTGATTTTACTGAATTGGCCTTTGAAATGACGTCAGACTATATTAATGACTATCTCATAGTTACGTGAAAGCTATTCCATTTTATCTATTAATATTCACAAGGACACAATGTCACAAGTACACATTGTGTCATATACTTTTCCTTTCATTTTAAGTCTTTTAGGAAGAAATACTTTTCTAATTTTTGAATTAGAAACAATTGTGCTTTTTCTGAGCAATTATCTTGCTTTTTTCTTATGGACACCATGATTTATGTAACTGATTAGGCTTATCCTTGTTTTTGCATAATATTTTCAATAGAGTAGATACAAATTTGTGACCTGCCTAATACAATTGCATAGAATTTCATGATACATTTATTTTATTTATTCATTTATTTATTTTGAGAGAAATTATTTTTGCTATAGGGCATGTGCAGTTGCAGGAGAGACAGAGAGACAGAAAGTGAGAAATCACACCCTCCCGGGGGGAATGATCACACTGCAATCCCTCTTCCTCTCTCTTCCTCTCGGGATTTTGGGCACTCATGCACATATACCTGGCATGAGTTTTAAGCCGCTGGGTCCAGGACTAGAACCTTAATCAATTATGTGGGAGTCCAGTGACATAACCATTACTCCATCTACTAGTCCCCTCCCGGGTGGAATGACCACACTGCAATCTCTCTTCCTCTCTTCCTCTCGGGATTTTGGGCACTCATACACACATACCTGGCATGAGTTTTAAGCCGCTGGGTCCAGGACTAGAAACTAAACAATTATGTGGGAGTCCAGTGACGTAACCATTACTCCATCTACTAGTCCCTTCATGATACATTCAGCTTTTAACTTCAATCCACTGTTTTATATTCCCTTAGTTTGGTGTCTTTGTCTTTCTCTTTCTCCTATCCCTTTCTTTCCTTTAAATATCTTATCTTTTTCATTTGCATTATCTGTATTCTTTTAAGCTACTGCAAATAATTTTTTGAAACTAGATTAATTATATAAGAAGACTTCAAAAAGTTCATGTGAAAATGGAATGAAATTATTATTTATTTTGATGTAAAAGCAAAATAGATATCTACCCAGTTTTTGTCATAATATGTGCTTTCCATGAACTTTTTCAAGATTTCCTCCATGGGACCAGCAGTTAGTGTAATGGCTATGTCGCTGGACTCCCACGTAGTCGACCGCGGTTCTAGTCCTGGACCCGGTGGCTTAAAACTCACGCCTTGCGCGTGTGTGTGTGTGCCCAAGATCCCAAAAGGAGAATGGAGGAGAAGGGATTGGGGCGTGGCCATTCCCCCTGGGGGGTGATTTCTCGCTTTCTATCTCTCTGTCTCTGTCTGGCGAGCACACACGCCCTATAGCAAAAACCTCTCAAAAAAAAAAAAAAAAAAGATCCCCTCCATTATATACACACAAATATACAAACAAATTAAACTCCTAAAATAAATTCATATTAAAAAGTTAAACAGCAAGTGTAGATACCAGACACTTTATAGGCGAGGGTAAAAGTAGGGGTTGGGAGGGAGGAACTTATGGAAAAAAACAAACATTTAACATTCAAAATGTTAAAAGTTATCTGTAGAAGGATGATGTGTATGATATATTTTTTGACTTACTTGACATGTAATGCATGTATGCTTTAAAAATACATATTGCAATAGAGAGGAAAGATATTTGTGGGACACAGAAATGGTTTATTACCTGTTGATGATAACATGTATAATATTCTCAACTGGACCAGACTGAGATGTATTTCATGTTGGTAAATTCTCTTTACAAGCCAAATGATGTATAGTGATCAAATGTTTAAAAAAAAAAAAAAAGAATAAAAAACCCATATTGCATACTGTAAAAATGTATAGCAATTTAATGTAAATTTAAAAAACAGAGTTATCTATCAAGCAGGTTTTTTAAAACAGGTTGGACCAAGGTTCCATGTTTGCTTCAGTGTTATATTTTAATTTTATTTATTTATTTTAATTTGACCAGAGAGATACAGAATGAGAGAGAGTGAGAGAGATGGAAAGTGAGAAAGCAAGCCACCAGGCTTAGGACTCGAACAGTGGTCGGCTATAAGGGAGTCCAGTACTCCTAGACCTATGCCACCTGCCAGCCCCTTCAGTGTTATATTTTACTTCAGGACATTCAGCAAGATTTTCTTAGATTCCTTATTTCCATTCAAATTCAGTTCAGCAGTTGTATTAAAGCCTAGTTAAACATGTGGTTAATACTTTATATCTGTGTAATCCATCTCTTACTCATTAAAGCATTTGTGATTTGCAGACAGTGTGATGCAATGTACAAGGCTGTAAGTAAAGCTATAATGAACTTTAAATACTAAACACAGTGCTGAAAACTAGAAAATGTGAGGAAAGGGCATGAAATACTCCCATTATTGCTCAAAGAACATCTACTCTAAAAAACATACTCTGATATTGGACTTCTTGTTTTAAAATGTAAGTAGTAGGTAGAGTAGCATAGTAAGTACAGATACGAAAATGCAAATGGTGGGTGAGTAAGCGCACTCTTTCTGGAGCTAGACCACTTGAAATGGAGAGTGTGGACACACGACCTAAAAAAAGTTATTTAACTTATGTGTGCATCAGTTACCTTATCTATAGCATAGGGATTAATGACAGTACTTACCTACTGGGGTTGTAATCTCTGGCATGTAGGAAGCATGCAGTGGTGGGTCTTGGTTTAGTTTATTTTTAACATTTGCTTTAATATCTTAGAATGTATATTGTTTATCTTCATTTTTAGATCTCTTGCAGCTGAATGGGGTAAATATGGACTGCGGTTCAACCTGATTCAACCGGGGCCTATAAAAACAAAAGTAAGTTTTGATTGGCCTATTTCACATTGTGAATGATTATAGAATGATATAGTAATAGATCTATTCTAATTATACATGAATGACTTTCTGGGAATGTCTGGTTTTGGAGCCCTGGTTATAGAGAAAAACTGTTAGACATTATCCAATATAAAAAAATAAGAAGGGAGACAGGGATATAAGCAACTATGCAACTTCTTCTTCTTTTCTTTCTTTCTTTTTTTTTTTTTTTGGTAAGGTTTTTTTCTGTAAGGTGCTTTCACTCACTGGAGAGACAGAAAGAGACAGAGAGACAGTGAGAGAGACAGTGAGAAATTACCCCATGGGGGACAGCCATGCCACAGTCCCTTCTCCCTGATTTTGGGCACACACACACACACAAACACACACACACACACTCATGCCTGGTGTGCATTTCAAGCCACTGGGTCTAGGACTCAAACTGCAGTTGGCCATATGGGAGTCCAGTACCTTAACCACCAGGCCACCTGCTGCTCCTGCAACTTCTTAATAAGTTCTGTTTCTTTCTTTAAAAGAGATTTTTGTTATAGGGTGCATGTGCTCACCAGAGAGACAGTCAGAAAGCGAGAAATCACCCCCTCCCCAGGGGGATTGGCCACGCAACAATCCCTTTTCCTCCATTCTCCTCTCTAGATGTTGGGAACACACACATGCACCTAGAGTGAGTTTTAAGCCACTGGGCCTGGGACTCGAACCATGGTTGGCCATGTGGGAGTCCAGTGATGTAACAATTACACCATCTGCTGGTCCCAATAAGTTCTATTTCAATGTCTTAATTTCTGGGGTTTCCTATGCCGTCAATTTTGGCATTCTGTATGACTTGTCTTATTATTGTTCTGTATTTCTTAATTTTCATCATATTTAAAAGGTCTTTTTGATTGACATTCTTTTTTTTTTTCTAAGAGGTTTTTGTCATAGGGTGCGTACACACTCGCCAGAAAGACACAGAGAGACAGAGAGACAGAAACCAAGAAATCACCCCCCAGGGGGGATGGTCACACAGCAATCCCTTCTCCTCCATTCTCCTCTCGGAATCTTGGGCACGTACACACATACACCCAGCGTGATTTTAAGCCACCGGGTCTGGGACTCGAATTGCAGTTGACTACATGGGAGTCCAGCGACACAGCCATTATACCAACTGCTGGTCCCATGACTGACATTCTTTTTTTAAAAAACAAAACAAAACAAAACAAAAAAACCCCATGAAAACGTGACTATATTTTTAGATTAAGAGATGCACTAGAAATTTCTCATACAGGCTTGGTTTTGCTACAGGTGGTATTTCTTTTGACTCATGGTCTGTGCCTTTCCACTTTTTGTCAATTAAGCGTGTCATCTAAATCCCATGTCTCTCTGATTAAATATCCTTTTGATGGCATGCAAATCACCTATAATTTAATAACCCTTATGAATATTCATTGCTACTTATAATTATCAATAATTCTATTACAGATAGTACTTAGGATGTCCACAGGTTCTCTATTCTATTGCATTACCCCAGATAACTTTACTTTCACACTTTTTTTTTTGGTAAAGCAATAGTTTATAATCTGAACCCAGATATAGTTTTGAAAACCCAGACAAAATTTAATAACTTGTTTCAATTGCATGAACACATTGGAAGATGATATGAAAGAATACTTGGGTTGTAGGTAGCTCTGGGGTATTAAATATTAACATTGAAATGGCCACTAGTATATTTGGCAGCTTAAGAGGTGGAAAATGGAAAGAAAAGTGAACTGAGTGAGTGAAACTTGATTGGATATCTTATTTATCTTACACATCAAAAATAAGGAGTCCAATAAAATTAGAAAAATAACTCAAAATATGTATTTCCTGTGCCAAGTACTATCTGAAAAGAACTGTATAGTCACAGAAGCTTCTTTCTAGACCTTCACATCATTTACACAAAGCAGAAGTTTTTGTCCCATTTAGTTATGGATTTTTTCCTCTCTCTAGGACTTACTAGAATTTAATATTTCTACATATATGTTTTCTTTCCTTATTTTGGAAAGAAAGGAAAAGAACATTCTCTTAAATATTTCCCACAGGAGTCTCTTTCCTGTCTTTACTAAGTGAAATGACAGTAGGGTCACTATCTCCCTACTCCACCAAGCTTGCACATGGTTCAGAGTACTTTTTAAATACATTCTCTTGTTTGATATTTATAATGTTTTTATGAGTAGCTAAGATAGATATCTTCATTGTACAGAAAAAGAACCTAAGATAAAAATATTAGTTTCCAGTGATTTTTTTTTAGATCTGTTTTGGTCTAAAATGTCAAAGATTATGGTAAAATTCTGTTATTTACGGGGCCTAAGGTATGAACAGACTGCTGTGCTAGCATTCATTTTATGTAATTTTGTTTCTCACGTAGAAAAGGGGATTTACTACAAAAATAGCAGCATCAATAACAACAACCACAATCTAATTGTTTTCATTTCTAAGGGTGCCTTTAGCCGTCTAGACCCAACTGGAGCATTTGAGAAAGACATGATTGACAGAATTCCCTGTGGCCGGCTGGGAACTGTGGAAGAACTTGCAAATCTTGCTGCTTTTCTTTGTAGTGATTATGCTTCTTGGATAAATGGAGCGGTAAGCAGGGTTATGTCCTTTGACTTTGGAGCGAGTATATATTTCAGGTGGAAAACCTGTTGGGGAGTCAATTCTGACAATGCTGAATATAACTATGAGTCACTAGATTTACTCAGCTGTAAATAATGTCAAAATATTATACATACTTGTGGGACCAACAGTTGGCGTAATGGCTATGTCCCTGGACTCTCATGTAGTCGACCACGATTTGAGTCCCAGACCAGGTGGCTTAAACTCACGCTGGGCATGTGTCCGTGAATGCTCAGGATCCCAAGAGGAGAATGGAGATGAAGGAATTGCTGCGTGGCCATCCCCCCTAGGGGGTGATTTCTCACTTTCTGTCTCTCTGTGTTTTTCTGGTGAGTGCATGTGCCCTATCACAAAAACCTCTCCAAAAAAAAAAGAAAGTATACATACTCGTTAGCGTTTGAAATTTATTCCTTGATAAATTAAATTGATTTTAATTAATTTAATTTAAGTTAGCCTGATAGGCGTATCTTTAGGATGATCTTTAAAACTGGGCAGGTTTTGAAATTATTGACATGGTGGAAAGAGGACTTTAAACAAAATAAACCAATTTAGACTTACTCTTCAGTTTTACCTTTTTTTTTTTTTTTTTCTTAATCTGATAAAGGTTTGTGTGCTCGCCAGAGAGACACAGAGAGACAGAAAAGACAGAAATCATTCCCAGGGGAGAATGGCTACATGGCAATCCCTTCTCCTCCATTCTCCTCTCAAGATTTTGGGCCACACATGCCCAGTGTGGATTTCATGCTGCTAGATCTGGGACTTGAACCGCGGTCAGCGACGTGTGAGTCCAGTGCTTCAGCCACTATGCCACCTGCTGGCCCTCATCAGATTTATCTTTAAAACTTGAACTTTGAAAATGCAAAGGAGATAATCAATCTAATTAGGATGATAAAATGGCTAATATTTCAGAAACTTTTTAAAAGGAGTTAATTTCAAAGATTTTTAATATTTTTTTCAGGTCATTAGATTTGATGGTGGAGAGGAAGTACTTATTTCAGGCGAATTTAACAGCCTGAGGAAGGTAATACCACTTTGTGTATACTAGGATACTAAGCTTTGAAAACAAGAAAGGACCACATTATTGACACTTTTCTTTTTGTGTTAGGTCACCAAGGAACAGTGGGACACAATTGAAGGACTGATCAGGAAAACAAAAGGCTCCTAAGGCTTCATCTTGATTACAGAAAAATCAAAGAATAGAAATGATACAAACTGTCTATAATCTTTTGAAAATTTTCAAGTCTAATAAATTGTTAATAAAAATTCAATGAATGCGCATTATGTGCCAGGTGAGTGGTAGCCATTATATATGCAAAGAGATTTAAGATGAGATATCATCTCTTCAAAAATTGTAAAAAATAGGGAACCAGCAGTTAGCGTAATGGCTATGTTGCTGGACTCCCACGTAGTCGACCGCGGTTTGCATCCCGGACCCGGTGGCTTAAAACTCACGCCAGGTGCGTGTGTGTGCGTGCCCAAGATCCCAAGAGGAGAATGGAGGAGAAGGGATTGCGGTGTGACCATGCCCCCTGGGGAGTGATTTCTCGCTTTCTGTCTCTATGTCTCTCTCTCTCTGGCGAGCACACGCGCCCTATAGTGAAAATCTCTCCAAAAAAACAAATTATAAAAAATAAAAAAGAGGGAGCGTGGATGAAGGTTTTGATGGATAAGTACTTGTGAGGACAGAGAAAAGAAAAAGTATATTGTGACCTGGAATACCAGGAAACTTAATGGTAGAAGCAGCATTTGAGTTACGTATTATGTGATGCCTGTAATACTATAGTAATGGGAGTTAAAAGAAGTAAATTAGAGGATCTACAATACATTTAATGGACTCTGCCTTTCCAGTATATTGCCTTTTCATTGAGTTTGTGAGTTATCTTATTTAGATAGCTCAATATTAACTCAAACCTTAAATTTTTACCAGGACTTATTTTGTAACCAGGCATTTTATTTGGTACTAAATAATCTACAGTCCTTGTTCTCTCGAAACTCATTATGTAGCAAGGTAGACATAACCTAGGAATATTTTTTATGAGATAGTGTAATAACTGTTATTCTAGCTATATTAAAGGGGAGGAGGAGGCAATTCATTCTGACTCCAGAGTTTAGAGAAAGCGTCATCTGAGACTAGTATTCCATCTCAGCTTTAAAAGAAGAATGGATCTCTCAGGGTAGAGAAGATGAAGAAAGCTTTTAAAATATTGTTGCACATAATTTAATTTCATATTTGTTTTAACTAATTTATCATCTTTAGAATTGCATAATAAGAAATCTAGTCTCAAGTCTACAGAGCTATAATCTTGAGCCTCTATTTTTAAAAAAGTCCAATTTGCCTTCACTTGTAACATGCTCAGTAGACTGACTATCTCCATTACCCAGATTGCCAAGAGAGAGGGCCAAGTTCCATCTTGCCTCATCGGAATAGATCTGCAAAGGAATCTAGTTTTCATATTTGAATTGATATGCTATAGGCCCCATATGGACACTTTCATATGGGCAGTTAATTGTACTCATAAATTACATACATTATCCAGAGTGTGCATACAGGATGTTACAGGTTTAGACCAAGTGGCTTTGACATTTCCAGTTATACCATCTTTCACTGGACTTTTTAGGATGTTACGCTTTTTCATGTAACATGAAAGATACCTAGTCTCCATATTACCTTTACCTTTAGCAATAACCCTGATTTTCTTCTCACTTGTCTGCATCTTCTTTTTAAAAATGATCAGTAATTCTCACAATATACAAAAAAGAAGAAGTGTCAGTAGTTGCATAACCATGTATAAGTTTCATCACTTATTTGCTTCATCTATAAAATATATATGATTATATTTGCTTTACAGTGTTCTTATAAGGATTAAGTGAAATAAAATAAGTAAAAACACAGTGTAAAATACAAAGCATACAAATGAAAGATAGGCTATTCTACTACTTTTTTTTAATATTTAAAAGAATTTTATCATAATTTGTAATTTTTATATAATAATTGTACACGTTTATGAGGATCAATATGGATTTTTCAAAACACATATACACTATGTAATGATCACACAAAGACAATAAACACGTACATCATTTCCAGCATTTATCATTAGTCTGGTTGTACACATTCAAAATTCATTCTATTTTGAAGGATACATTGATTTCTCTCTATCATCACGCTACTACACTGTTGTATTCTAGAACTAATTTTTTCATATATAATAATTTTTACATCTTTCCACAAATATTTACTTTACATATCAAAAAATTTTGCTCATATTCCATAGTTCTTGACAGTTAATAAACAACTTTCAAAATTTCAAAATACTGAATTTAAAAAAAATGTTCAAAATATTTCTTATAATTTTATATAATTTTGTTTGTGACTCTGTATTTTTGAGAAAATATTTAGGGACCAGCAGTTAGCGCAATGGCTATGTCACTGGACTCCCATGTAGTAGACCGTGATTCGAGTCCCAGACCAGGCGGCTTAAACTCACTCCAGGTGCGTGTGCGTGCGTGCCCAAGATCCTGAGAGGAGAATGAAAGAAAAGGGATTGCGGCGTGGCCATCGCCCCTGGGGGGGTGATTTCTCGCTTTCTGTCTGTCTCTCTCTGTCTTTCTGGCGAGTGCACGTGCCCTATAGCAAAAACCTCTCCCCCCCAAAAAAATAATAATAAAGTGTACATGTCGACTACTCGAATTGTTAAAAAACAAATGTCTAACACACAAGTCACACATAAACAATTCAGCCTTGTCTATCAAGTATTCTGTGATATACCATCTGCTAGCAAAGATGAGTCTCTTTTTCTTCCTTCAAAGTCTTTCTCAAGATAATCCTCTGGTCATAGTTGCTCTTTTGCAGTCTTTACTAGGACTCATTTTATCTTCTGTAAGTTTTGTATCTGTTAACCATTTTCCCAACCCCCAGTCCCTTTCTCCTTTCCAGTTTTTGATATCTGCCATTGTACACTCCTCTTCTACCCAGTAAAATCTTTTACTTCCACTAATGAAAGAGAACATACTGTATTTATCTTTCAGTGCTTGGCTTATTTCACTTAGCATTATTTCCTCCATATTCATCTATGTAGCTGCAAAAAAGAATTTTATCCTTTATTATGGGCTTATATATCACATTGTCTTTATCCATTCATTTTTTGGGAACTTAGGTTGATTCTATATCTTAGCTACTGTGCAGAGTGTTGCTGCAAACACAGAAGCATATTATCTCTCTGCCATAGTGATTTTCTTTCACATAGGCATACGCCCCCTAGTGGCACTGCTGCATCATGAGGTAGTGCAATTTTCAGTTTTGTGAGAAACCACCATTCTGTTTTCCATAATGTACTCGGTCCTTCTTTCTCCACAACATACCAGTTCTTGTTATTCTCTGCCTTTTTGATAATAGGCATTCTAACTAGGGTAAAGTAATATCTTTTGGTTTGCATTTCTCTGATTATTATTGATATTCAGACTTTCTCCCTGTTGGCCATTTGTATGTATTCTTTTGAGAATTGTTCAGATTGGTTGGTCATTTTAAAATCAGATTATTTGTTTATTCATTTAGTTTTGCTGGTGAGCTATTTGAGTTACTTGTATATTCTGGTTATTAATCTCTTGTTGGATGTACAACTTGTACAACAAATATATGACACATATTTTCTCCCACTGTGTAGGTTTTCTTTTTAGTCTGTTGTTTTGCTGTGCAGCTTTTTTAGTTTGATTTAATCCTTTTTTATTTTGGTCTGTTTGTTTGTTTTTGTTTTTTGCTGTTACTGTCCATGCTTTTAATGTTTTACTTAAAAAAATCTTTATCTAGATCAATGTCCTGAAGCATTGCTCCTATGCTTTCTCCTGGTAATATTGTGGTTACAGGTCCTGTATCTAAGTCTTATATTTGTTTTGAGTTAATTTTTGTATATGGTGAAAGGTAGGGGTCTAGCTTCGTTCCTCTGCATATGACTACTTAGTTTCTCCAGACTACTTAGTTTCTCCCCACAAATGTCAAAATCAGTTACCTGCACCTACATTGATTTATTTCCCTTTTCTCTATTTGTTCTATTGGTCTACGTGTCTATTTCTGTGTTGTATCATGCAGCTTGCATTATTATTAATTTATAATATTATTATTGGATGTGTCTTCTTGCTTCTTTTGCTGTATTCCAGTGTTTTCTCCTTGCTCCTCTTTTCAAAGTACAGCCATTTATCCTTTTTTTTTGGGGGGGGGGGTCACTCTCCATGGAGGAGTTGTACTGGTTGTATAGTTGGCCAGCTCCTTCCTTCTCTTTTTTTAAGATATTGTTGTCATAGAAAAAGTCAGAATACAAAAGAATAAAAAACATTTTTTAAAAATGGTTTGACCTTCTGAAGAAAACTTCTATTGATACCTTGACATATTTATTTTCAGCCTCTTTCTTTTTGTTTAATTATTTTTTATGAAAGTACTTTACAGAGGCAGAGTCTACTTTGTTCCTGCTTCAGAGCTTAACCTTCCTTAAGAACTATCATCAACTTTTGTGTGTGTGTGCGAGTGTGTGTTTTCCTGGAATATACTTCTTTTTTTTTTTTTAAGAGAGAGAGATTTTTGCTATAACATGCGTGCACTTGCTGGAGCGACAGACAGAAAGTGAGAAATCACCTCCTCGAAGTGAATGACCATACCACAATCCCTTCTTCTCTATTCTCTTGGGATTTGGGGCACGCACACACGCACTCGCGCCCAGCCTGAGTTTTAAGCCACTGGGTCCAGGACTTGAACCATGGTCGATTATGTAAAAGTCCAGGAACGTAACCATTATGATATCTCATAGTCTCTATACTTCCATTTTTAAAAAGTATCATGCTTATTTTGTAATTTTTTGAATTTTTTTGGTTTTAGAAACTTTGTTGACTTTCTTCCTTGAAGGATGGCTTAGTACTTTTTTTACATTTCTTGCCAGCTCTTACCAAACACACACAGACACAGACACTTTCTTCCTCTCCACTAATTTTACCAGTATCTCTATTTTTGGTTAAATTTATATTTAGTGTTCATGTTGTTATAAACTTTATAAATACTGTTAATTCCTAAAGTTTTCTCAGCTTCCCTCCCATTATTTTAATCAAACTGTTCAGACTGTACTATAAATTAGATAGTTTTTTTATAAATATGATCTAGAAAATTCTGTCATTTATATTTATCATAATTTATATAATCCTTTATTTGGAGAATTAGCTATTTTTTTTTTTCATTTAAAAATGTATTTTAGGGACCAGCAGTTAGCGTAATGGCTATGTTGCTGGACTCCCAT